GTGAAGACAGGCATCCTGACTGAGTCTGTCAGTGGGCTGAAATAAATCACACACATTGTATCGGTCTACCTTTCGGTTTGTGGTGTACTCTTGATGTACCGCTCAGCAACAGCATACAGACTGTGAAGCCTCCACAGCACAGTGGCACTAAGCTCCACACTTCCAGAGACCAAAGCGGCTGTCAGTCTACTAATTGGTTATGTCCATCTTGATGGTTAATGCTTCAACATTGTATCATCACTACCACCCAAACTTCTGCTGTATTACTAGCTAAAGACTCAAGCATAGCAATGCTGTTTAGGTGGATAAATGGTAGAAATTGAGACATTTAGCATACACAAAAAAGGAATACTTCCTTGGCAAATGGCAAAGAAACTGGAAGTTAATTTCATGCTTTAGTCATGCCTGATCCCTTCAATGTGCTGCTTTAAATCTATGATGTTAATATGCACGTGAATTTGTGAAGTTATCATTAAAATTGAATATATGAATTAAGGGCAGTTTTAATTCACTGCTCTTGTTTTCAACATATTTTCTTTCCTAAGTCAAGGGCTGATAAAAGAAAACTGTTTATATCACTCTTTTACCAATAGTAAATGTATAATAAAGTCTCTATAAAACAGCTCATTCACATTTAGAAACTGTCACTGTTTCAGTCTCATTTATTTGCATAACCCTGCCCCGCTTAAAGCAGGGAAGCCAACCAGTGATCTCCCAAATTAGCATTCTGTCACCTTCAGTGTCTCCTCTGTCATTCAGAAAAACAGGCTAGGGTGCAGACACATGAACCCCCTCACATTCACAGGAGTAATGTTAATTAGGAGGCATGGCATCCCACTGCTCCATCCTCCTCCTCAAACTGACTAAATGACATGTTATGTATTTAAATCCTTTCATGCACCCTTAGTTTAGAGGGGAGAAAGTTAAAATGTGTTTGAGGGAAAATGTCACCGTCATTGTACAACGTTTCAACATGAACAATTATTCTACAACGTCAAGAAAACTCAATGACATGACTTGGGTCCATGATTTTCACTGGTATAGCTAGCTTCTTTTATAAATTGCAACATGAGGAATGCCAAGGAAATTATACATTACTTCCCCCTTCCAGACACTACACGCCCATGTGACTCTGTACTTTTCACATATTGATATCAGCAAATTAGGAAAAAGCATGACATCAATATATGATCTTGATGTGCCGTCTGTCATAAATATTATTCATAATTTGTTGTAAATGGATTCCTTCTCTTTTATCGGTGTCATCCACTGCTGCCATGGGTTGTGGGTCCAATAGTTCACTTGGACATCATTCGTTCCTTACAGGACATTGGGTAGCGCTATGTCCATAGTTGAGGTAATAGTGTCCTCTAGTGGTTTGTAAGGTGACCTGCATAAACAGAGGAAACAAATATCAAAGGGTCAGGAAATGTTCCTATTATACATTTTTTTCTGTAAAAAATGAGGCCTACACTAACTTGCTATGACCATTTTGAAACAAGGATAGTATCAGGAAATGTTGCTGATGTGTTCTGTATGGTAAAATAAAGAGTAGGCTGTCGCTGATGAGATATGACATGTACAAAGAAAGTTACGATCATATTTTTTCCATCTTATCTAAAATTGTACCTCTTTGATAGAGCCAACTTTATTAACATCTGGTTGAATGAAGATTGGGAATGATGCAACATGTCAGCAACTATGATGAAAGCCTCCGTGAGATGCAGTAATGCCTGTTATCCTGCGGGGGAGCCAGAGAATCACAGCCAGGGCATTTCAGGCTAGTCATCAAAAATTAACCTTGGCCTGCTGTCACTCAGAACTGGAACCTTCTTCCCACAGTGTTTTAACATGGTCACCATTCTGCAAAAATACATTTGCCTACCTTCGCAAACCCTGTCCTAACTTAGATGTGTTCCTGAGTATTATTTTTCAAAAAGGTTTTAGTAGCCTAAATGTGAGCCTTACCTTTTACAATATAAGTGATTTTGATCATAGATATAGGCAATAGGCATCTAAAAACCTTTACACATGATTATCAGTTGGCTCATACTGTTGTAGAAATACTAACGTATACTTTCCTGGCAGGGGAGACACCTTGATCACGAGGTTCACCCAGTGAGGCTCGGCCATTGCACTCCGGCAATGCTGACCCCTGCGAATTTCCCAAATGTGGGAATCGTGACTGCATCATTTGTAGTAATAGGGGACTGCTTGCGTCTAGCCTGTCTAATGCAACTCATGTGGTACACAGCAAGGGAAGACTTGGAGTTTGGGGTCAGCCAGACTAGACTGTGTCTGAGCTCTCCCCTGGAGAAAAAAAGAGAGAGAAAATACTAACGTGTAGTGAGATCCCACACAGAACTGAAACCAAACAAAGACGAGCAACATTGTTTTAAACAAATGGTTTATTTTTGCAAGTAGGCTTTGGGAGCATCAGTGCAAGCTATGACCTGTGTACAGAGTTTGGAGACAAAATGCACTGAGCAGGTCCTTGAGTGAACCAACCACAGGACCCCTCCCAACATAGGGAAGATGTTTGGGGATGGGGGTGCTGCGATTTTTTCAGACGCGCTACATCGGTCCGCTAATACAGGACTAGTAAAGAACCAGTGCACTACTTTTGTGAGACATTGTTCTTTTTTTTGTGTTCTGATTTTTCAGGGGGTGTTACAGCACCCTCAGCACACTTACTTCCCGCGGCTATGCCTCCCAAGTATTCAAGGAGGAATGTTTGTGCTACATTACAGCTGTTCCAGAGCATGGTCTTTATCTGCGTACTGTCAGCACTGACTGGGCACAGTGGGGGGAATGCTAATGTAGATACCCTTCTTTTACCCTGCTACTCATCACATAGAAGTTACAATCAAAGCCATTGAATGATCACCTGTCATGTCACCACATCAGTCTTACTGTTAGCTTCATACTACCAAGACCTCACATCTGGAGGGGGAACCTCTGTAGTCCACCAACAAAAGGAGAGGACACACCACTTGTCAGTACTGTATTTGAGCCCATGTGCATTGTAGAGACACACGTGATGTCACTATATTATTTGGCTTCTCAGTGTAGCTGAAAAGAATAGCTCTCTTCCAACATGTTCATTCATTGTGCAACTTGTACATAGCTACAGTAAGAACACTTAACATCTCAGTATCATGATGCTCACTATCTTATCCATTAATACGGTGGTGGTTTGTATATGTTGAGCTACACTCTACATACATGGGCACAGTCAAACTAGCCCGCATCGAAGAAGAGCACACACATTTGTTTCTAATTCTTCAGTTTCAACTTATTTCCATCTCACAGACCAACTCCAACGTCAGTTCTTATCCATTCATACGTATTTGGCCCACTTGATCCATCTCCACAATTGGATTTGATAAAGTTGGCATTGCACATGATATTATCCTTGTGAGAATGAGTACAACCAAATAGCTTTGACTGTCATCCAGAACTAGATTTGTTTTGTATTCTACAATAGCAGTTAGATTTTTAATTCGCTAACAGTAACACTTTGGGTTGCAGGAAGCAGTTGTTGCATCAGAGAGAACTCATTTTATATTTGGTATAATCCGTCAATGCTGCAGTGACTGTGCCCAGGTTTGGGAGCGTACAAATCATTGGATAAAACCCAGCATGAGATAAAGCTACAAATTCAACAGTGCACATTGAACACAGTATCTGGGAGTGTGGGACAAGACCAAAGACAGTAAGGTGTGGGTTGATGTGTGACTGAGTGAGTTACACTTCCAAAAGCTCATCTATTTCACTAGATATGACGACGGCCTTACTGATATCATGAGACACCCGAGTTTTACAGTATATTTAGAAGGAACAGACCTAGCCCTTCAGTAAAGCAATTGCATAATTTAGGCTAAAGCGCCAATGGTGAGGAGAGTATGTATTTTAATACATTTATTGTCATGACCCACAAGGTTCATGCCAGTGGCCTGTTGTTGCCTTTTGGTTGTTACGTCATAAGGGACTAATGTCTCCGTATGAGCCGGTGTTGACACATTCAAGCACACCCATATGATCCAACCCACATGCACACAATAGTTACACAAGAGAAAAATATATTAACATTTTCATTTTTTTTTTTACTGTACACCTCAGTGTAGTAAAATACTTAAGAAATAATAGAAATATGGAAAATAATCCATGTGGGTTACATGTCTTTATACTTTATGTATGTAAAACTCTCCCCCTCCCTTAACCCTCAACAAAATAGCTTTTTTCCATTTAGTAAAAAATACCCAGGGTTTTATTGGGAGCCCCAGGCACTGGAATACATCTCTGTACAAGAGGAGAGAAAAACACTTGTTTTCTTTTAAGGATCTGTTCCCTGAACAGAACAGAGTTCAACTCACCTCTGGAAAGGCTAAATGTTCTGGATGCCATTACAAATCAGATAAGGGCTGAGGAGCCAATGGGGAGCACTTAACTAGTTACCCATGAACCTCGCTGGCTCGCTCGGTCCTCCTCCCAGCCAACAGACCAGCTGTCTGGCTCTGTGAAAATCATGCACCTCAGGCCCACCATGAACCCACCCCACCCAACCCCCACAGACCCTAACTATGATCGATAAACCCGTTTTGTAGCCCTTCTACTTGAAATGAGCAGCCATTTTAGCTTGCACAGTCCAGAGAGTTAGCTCAGTTGAGTTGAAAGCTGACGGCTGGCAGCTGAAGAGTATGATGGCTTCTGTGGTTGTTCCTTAGGTCCACTGTGCTCCACATCGCTGTGTGTACACCACAGTGGCCATCCAGCGGACCAGAAGCCCAAACCAAACACTGTAATGGACCACTGGCTTCAGGCCCATCTCCATGGAAACTTGGAACACACTGTTGTAGTACACCATCAGCCTTGTGAAGCGTTCCTCCTATTTCCAGTCCGGTGATAAAAAAAACAAAGCACTAAATAGTCTGAACAGTTTCACAGCATGTTGGCCCTCCTGCTTCGTTCTTTCACCCAACCCAAGGCCCCGCAGCTCAGTCAATGGGGCCCTGGAAGATGAGCTTGGCACAGCCCTGGGTGAGGCTGAGCTGGGTGGCACAGAATGGGCAGGCAGCGTGGAAGGCGTGGGTGCCATGGGGCAGAGGGATCTCCGCCCAGTACTTTGCCGACTTCTCCGAGCACACGTGTCCGCACGGCACAAAGGCGTGTGTGGGGGCGCCCACGTCCACGTAGAAGGCGGGCTCGCAGCCCAGCCACAGCGGCACGTAGGGTCCCACGGTCCGGCACATGGGGCACTCTCGCTGGGCGTTGGGCTCCTGCTCAGAGCGGTGACCCCAGTTGTGGTAGCCATGCACGTGGCCACAGGCCAGGTAGACCCAGGGCTGCTTGTCCTCCAGGGAGGAGAGGGCGCGGCTGCGCTGCATGCTGGGGAAAGCCAGGGTGTTGAGGCCCACAGGGCACTGGGGCCGCGCTGCGTTAATCTCCTGCCGCAGGGCCTCCAGGTGCTTCTGGGTGGGCGTGTGGAAGAGGCCGTCAGCTGTGCGCCACAGCAGGGTGGCTCCACACAGGTCTACCAGGGAGCCGTCCTGCAGCACGTTGCTCTCACACTCCACCTGCAGGGGGCAACGCAGCACACACAGCTCCATTAGGTTACATTGGGCTTAACACTGACACAGCTGGGTTTGAACACAAAGTATATGGAAACTATGTTTTTAAAAGAAAAAAACATTGCTTCCTTTGTAGAGTGGTATAGGGATCAATTTGGTTTTGGTGTAATTGGGTATGGAATTTTAAAGATGTAACAGTATAATGTTGAATGCTCTGATGTTTTTTAATGGTTCTTTATTTGACCTAATGACTGAGAACAGATTTGATGAGGGTAATGGTGGAGCATCATCAGTGCTACTGACCAGTTTGCCGCGGGTCTGAGCAGAGCGGGTCTCTCTCAAGGTGTAAACGTCCCCACACACAGAGATCTCCCTCCATACACCGGGCTTGGACTCCTCCGTGAACCCACCCCTGGGGTGCATCACCAGCACTCCATTGGTTGTTAGCCCGTCCATGTGACCATCCGGGTTCTTCCACTTGGCGGCTTTTTCCTGAGGATGAGACAGGGGGAAAGTCACACTGTAGTGGGCTTACATAACACTGGTGCTAGTATAAATTGTGTGCTAATCTAGTTCGTTCTGTCTGGAATGCTAGACATGCATTTGCGAACCAGGCTTAGATTCTTAGGAGGAAAACAAGAGGAGAAATCAAAAACATGCTAGAAGTGTTCCATTGTGCATTATTGTCATAAAATGAACAACAACAACAACAAATCTGAATACCAGTCAACCCAGGAGACAGTCCTCTGTAGCTCAGCTGGTAGAGCACGGCGCCTGTAACGCCAAGGTAGTGGGTTCGATCCCCGGGACCACCCATACACGAAAAATGTATGCACGCATGACTGTAAGTCGCTTTGGATAAAAGCGTCTGCTAAATGGCATATTATTATTATTATTATTCCTAACCTTGGGACAGTCCCCTGTGAGCCCAGTCTTACCCCCAGGAAGATGTTCTTGGAGGAGTCAAAGCCAGCAGCGTAGATGCGGGCGGTGTAGGGCAGGACCCGCTCACACACGACACGGCAGGCGAAGCGCGAGATGGTGCTCTGGGTGATGGGCGTCTCCTCTCCCTCCTGACCCCCAGACACTGTGTCCGTCACCACAAAGTCTATGGGGCTCTCTGTGGAGCGGCCAATCTGCAGGACAACATAGTCAGCCCAGGTTAGAACAGACACCTGCACCATTAAGGTTTGAACATCCATTTGTAAAACAAGGTGGTTTAGAATGTGTTTGTTTTTAGGTCAGTACCCACATTCATGGGCAATTTCCTCAATAAATAGTTTTAAAAAATGCCAGCATGTTGCCCATATAACTGTTTAGAGGGGGCCTCCTATGGTGCCACTCCGAATAATGAAATAAAGGCAGGTTTTATACAGTGCATTTGGAAAGTATTCTGACCCCTAGACTTTTTCCACAGTTTGTTACGTTACAGCCTTATTCTAAAATGTTTTAAAATTGTACCCTTCCCCAGATCTGTGCCTCCACATTCTCCTGTCTCCGAGCTCTACGGACAATTCCTTCGACCTCATGGCTTGGTTTTTACTCTGACATGCACTGTCAACTGTGGGACTTTCCATATCATGTCCAATCAATTGAATTTACCACGTGGACTCCAATCAAGTTGTAGAAACATCTCAAGGATGATCAAAGGAAACAGGATGCACCTAAGCTCAATTTCGAGTCTCATAGCAAAGGGTCTGAATACTTATGTAAATAAGGTATCTTTTTTATTTGTAATACATTTGATAAAATGTCTGAAAACCTGTTTTCGCTTTGTCATTATGGGGTAGTGTGTGTAGATTGAGGACAATTTTTATTTAATCAATTTTAGAATAAGGCTGTAACGTAACAAAATGTCAATGGCGCCGGAGGGGATGGCTGCCGTCCAACAACAGGGTGGTATTCACTAGACCCCAAACGGAAGAAAACTGACTGACACGGGGTGGGACTGCCTGAACTTTTCCAATAAGAAACGCTTATTTGAGTTTTGCTACGTCTTGAAACGGTGTGCACTAATGAATACAACCCAGGTTTGAGGAACCTACCAGCAGCACCATTACTCCTCTATCAGTGAACCAACATCTGAGTTTCCATTGTCTGGTTAGAAAACATTCTGTGAACTCAACATAATGTGCCTTCCCTCAACACAAAATATCCTATTTGTAAGTCGCTCTGGATAAGAGCGTCTGCTAAATGACGTAAATGTAATGTAAATGTGTTATGGACTATTAACCAACCGGGCTATTTTGTGTGTTTTTTCGCATTGTTTGTAACTTATTTTGTAACTTCTAAGGTAGAGCTGCCGCTTTCAAGGAGCGGAACTCTTAACCCGGAAGCTTATAAGAAATCCCACTATGCCCTCCGACAAACCATCAAACAGGCAAATCGTCAATACAGGACTAAGATTGAATCGTACTACACAAACTCCGATGCTCTTCGGATGTGGCAGGGCTTGCAAACTATTACAGACTACAAAGGGAAGCACAGCCGCGAGCTGTCCAGTGACACGAGCCAACCAGACGAGCTAAATTACTTTTGTGCTCGCTTCGAGGCAAGTAACACTGAAACATGCATGAGAGCATCAGCTGTTCCGGACGACTGTGTGATCACACTCTCCGTAGCCGATGTGAGTAAGACCTTTAAACAGGTCAACATTCACAAGGCCGCAGAGCCAGACGGATTACCAGGACGTGTACTCCGAGCATGCACTGACCAACTGGCAAGTGTCTTCACTGACATTTTCAACCTCTCCCTGTCTGTAATACCAACATGTTTCAAGCAGACCACCATAGTCCCTGTGCCAAAGAACACTAAGGTAACCTGCCTAAATGACTAACGACCCGTAGCACCCACGTCTGTAGCCATGAATTGCTTTGAAAGGCTGGTCAGGGCTCACATCAACACCATTATCCCAGAAACCCTAGACCCACTCCAATTTGCATACCACACAAACAGATCCACAGATGATGCAATGTCTATTGCGCTCCACACTGCGCGTTCACACCTGGACAAAAGGAACACCTATGTGAGAATGCTATTCATTGACTACAGTTCAGCGTTCAACACCATAGTGCCCTCAAAGCTCATCACTAAGCTATGGACCCTGGGACTAAACACCTCCCTCTGCAACTGGATCCTGGACTTCATGATGGGCCGACCCCAGGTTGTAGGTAACAACACATCCGCCACGCTGATCCTCAACACGGGGGCCCCTCAGGGGTGCGTGCTCAGTCCCCTCCTGTACTACCTGTTCACTCATGACTGCATGGCCAGGCACGACACCAACACCATCATTAAGTTTGCCAATGACACAACAGCGGTAGGCCTGATCACCGACAACGATGAGACAGTCTATAGGGAGGTGGTCAAAGACCTGGCCATGTGGTGCCAGGACAACAACCTCTCCCTCAACATGATCAAGACAAAGGAGATGATTGTGGACTACAGGAAAAAGAAGAGGACCGAGCACGCCCCCATTCTCATCGACGGGGCTGTAGCAGAGCAGGTTGAGAGCTTCAAGTTCCTTGGTGTCCACATCACCAACAAACTAACATGGTCCAAGCACACCAAGACAGTTGTGAAGAGGGCACGACAAAACCTATTCCCCCCTAAGGAGACTGAAAAGATTTGGCATGGGTCCTCAGATCCTCAAAAGATTCTACAGCTGCACCATCGAGAGCATCCTGACTGGTTGCATCACTGACTGGTATGGCAACTGCTCGGCCTCCGACCGCAAGGCACTACAGAGGGTAGTGCGTACGGCGCAGTACATCACTGGGGCCAAGCTTCCTGCCATCCAGGGCCTCTATACCAGGCGGTGTCAGAGGAAGGCCATAAAAATTGTCAAAGACTCCAGCCACCCTAGTCATAGACTGTTCTCTGCTACTCCACGATCACGTGTCTCTGTTATGCGTGGAAATACTTGGGAACAGATTTCTTAAATTAAAGTCACTTGGAGCTGATTTCCTGGTGTTTTTACAGTCTTATGTCAAACAATGAAAATTCCACACAAAACATGTTATTTTATTTATTTATTTGCTCAGAAAACTTTGGGGGCAAATAAAACCACCAGCGGGCCAAATTCGGCCCGCCAGTTGGGGAACCCTGGTATAGACCAAACCTATGCCTCCATTGATATAAGGATACATTTAAAAACAGAGTCTAGAAGGGAGGTAGGTGGGCGTGATGGGAAGTGACTAGAACGTGAAGATACAAAACTATGCAGTTGTAGGTACCTAAATAAATGGGATCTAGGAATATTTAACTTCTGTACTAACTGTTCAAAAGATGCAAAATCCATATCAATGTTCAAGTCATTCAGTGAGGAGATCCCCTTTCCAGACCAGATATGAAACGCCCTGTCTAATACTGATGGAGAGAATGTATGGTTCCTTAATAACAGGGCAGAAGTCGAAAATTCACTGAGAGAAAACGATCGCCTGAACTGTTTACAGATGTTTTGAGAATGTTTCACAATAGGGTTTTTAGTGTATTTGGAAACAGGCTCAACTAATGTGAGTTTTGAGCAGAGGCGCAGCTAAGGAGGTGGGGCCACAGGATGAAATCTCTAAGGTCAACCATTTCGGGCCTGCAACATCAGGGATTTCTGTCATCCAATTCATCAGGATTCTTATATTAGCTGCCCAGTAATAATATAGAAAGTTCGGAAGTGCTAGACCACCCTGGGGGCGAGATCTCTGCAATACGCTTTTACATATCCGAGGGGTTTTTCTTGTTCCAGATAAAAGCAGATATCAGTTTATCTATGGAGATAAAAAAAATATTTTGTCAGAAAGATAGGAATACATTGAAATAAGTATAAAAGCTTAAGTAATACATTCATTTTAACAGCGTTAATTCTTCCACCCAAAGAAAGAGAACGTAAATCCCAGCGTTCAAGATCCTGTTTCAGGTGGAGTTTCAAGGGAGGGAAATTGGCTATATAGAGATCTTTGAAATCGTGTGTAACCCAAGTTCTCAAGTATCTCAATTTCTGTGTACTCACTTTGAAGGGCACATTACTAAAATAAGTTTGCACAGGATCAATAGACATCAATTCACTGTTTTGTAGATTAACTTTATACCCAGATATTTTACCAAAATGTCTGTAGTAGATCCTGGATCTCTGGAAAATCAGTTAAAGTGTTAGATAAATAGAATGTCATTCGCATAGAGTGAGACTTTATTCTCTTAACACCCTTTTCGAATACCTTTGATAGTGGCGTTATTACATATTGCTATGGCTAAAGGCTCGATTGCGATGGCAAACAGCGGAGCCGACAGAGGACGAACCCTGTCTTGTCCCACGTTGAAGTTGGAGATAGGATGAAAGGTTATTATTTGCGCGCACTGCTGCCATAGAGGAGGAGTAAAGGACTTTGATACAGGATATAAAATTGGGATCAAATCCAAATTGTTTGAGAGTATAAAAAAGATAACCCCACTCCACCTGATCAAACGCCTTCTCGGCATCTAGTGATAACAATATCTCTGGCTTGTCAGATGAAGAGGGATTATAAAGTATATATAAAGATGTCCAATGTTGAAAAAAGAATGACGATTTTGAAATGAAACCAGTTTGATCTGTAGAGATAATGGAGGGAAGGACTGACTCAAAATGGCGGGCAAGCATCTTAAAAAGTATCTTTACATTGCAATTTAATAAAGAAATTGGCCTATATGAACCACAAGAGTTTACATTTTTTACAATAAGTGAAATATATGCCTGTCTCATTGTTGAGGGTAAAGAGTTTGAGGAGAATGATTCCTCAAATACTGAAAGCAAGAGAGGAAAAAGTTGATCTGAGAATTCTTTAAAGAATTCGCTCGGAAATCCGCCGGGCCCAGAGGATTTACCACACTGCACAGATTTAATTGCCAACAATCTCTTCTACAGAGAACTGTTCTTCCAATTCAGCAGCTACAGTATCTTAGGTTCAACTGTGGGAATATCTAAGTTCTCAAAGAAGGTGTTGAATAAGGTAGCGTTACCAGCGGATTCCAAAATGTATAATTGTGAGTAAAAGTTATGAAAGCATGAATTGATCTCTAAATGATCAATACACTTGTTACCCAGCTCGATATTTATCTCAGGTATGGTTTGAGTCTCGGTTCTCTGACGCAGCTGGTGTGCAAATATTTTCCCTGATTTCTCTCCATGTTCATAATTTTGGTATCGAGATTTACTAATAAGATTTTCAGCTTGTCGAGCTGAAGATCGACAAGCTCTATCTGAAGTGTCAAACGTTATTTTAGTAGGCCAACGTTTGTCCTTGAGTGGGTTTTTTAAAATCAGCTCTCTGCTGGGTATGGCTTTTGTTTACTTAGTGCTGTTTGCAGACACATGGACACATTAAAAGGTTTGAATGTAAAGCACTTGTCTGGAGCAGTAGAACTTCTCCATCTGGTGGGAGTGGAGCGGTCTCCCTGATGTAAATTTAGATTAACGCTAGGGGATAGTGTACAGAACACATGTTCACTTGAGGGAAGGAGTGGGGTGGGGACAAAGAGAGACAGGGACAGACTGACACAGAGAGACCAGAGTGCTATAGAAACACTGCCCAGCTATGTAGCAAACAATTCCATATGAGGCATTAAGAAATAAATAAAACAGACCAGAGTTGATTGTTAAAATGCAATAACATATACAATTAATATTACTAAGCAGATTGCCTTATAAACTTTAAGCCTTACACTCCACAAAGCCGGGCTTTACGGAAGAGTGGCCAGAAAAAAAGCCATTACTTAAAGAAAAAAATAAGCAAACACGTTTGGTGTTTGCCAAACGCATGTGGGAGACTCCCCAAACATATGGAAGAAGGTACTCTGGTCAGATGAGACTAAAATTGAGCTTTTTGGCCATCAAGGAAAACGCTATGTCTGGCGCAAACCCAACACCTCTCATTATCCCGAGAACACCATCCCCACAGTGAAGCATGGTGGTGGCAGCATCATGCTGTGGGGATGTTTTTTTATCGGCAGGGACTGGGAAACTGGTCAGAATTGAAGGATGGCGCTAAATACAGGGAAATTCTTGAGGAAACCTGTTTCAGTCTTCCAGAGACTGGGACGGAGGTTCACCTTCCAGCAGGACAATGACCCTAAGCATACTGCTAAAGCAACACTCAAGTGGTTTAAGGAGAAAAATGTTAATGTCTTGCAATGGCCTAGTCAAAGCCCAGACCTCAATCCAATTGAGAATCTGTGGTATGACTTAAAGATTGCTGTACACCAGCGGAACCCATCCAACTTGAAGGAGCTGGAGCAGTTTTGCCTTGAAGAATGGGCAAAAATCCCAGTGGCTAGATGTGCCAAGCTTATAATAACATACCCCAAGAGACTTGCAGCTGTAATTGCTGCAAAAAGTGGCTCTACAAAGTATTGACTTTGGGGGGGTGAATAGTTATGCACGCTCAAGTTCTGTTTTTTTGTCTTATTTCTTGTTTGTTTTACAAAATCTTTTAATTTGCATCTTCAAAGGGGTAGGCATGTTGTGTAAATCAAATGATACAAACCCCCAAAAAATCCATTTTAATTCCAGGTTGTAAGGCAACGAAATAGGAAAAATGGCAAGGGGGTGAATACTTTCGCAAGCCACTGTATGGCAGGGTAATCTGCTAAACTCAGACCAATGGAGCATCTGGAATATTGAAACGGGTGGATTTACCTGAAACATGTCTGTGTCATTGTCATGGCAGTATTCCACCACTACCGTCTGGTTCCTGGACAGAGTGTAGGAAATACTGTGCTGCCCTTTGCAGTTCACCGCCTGAAACAACAGCAGCAGAGGAAGATCAGAAGATGCATTCTACACATGCATACAATGGACTGATGACAGTTATTTTACATTGAAACTCTTAATAGGATATTAACAGTCATATGTAAATTACATTATTGTATGAGCTCATTACTAATTAAATCATACAGATCTATTGAAACAAAGGGCTTCTTCAGTGCTATAAAAGGTGATGAAATCAAATCAAATTTTATTTGTAACATGCGCCGAATATAACCTTACCGTGAAATGCTTACTTACAAGCCCTTAACCAACAATGCATTTAAGAAAAATAAGAGTTAAGAAAAGTATTTACTAAATAAACTAAAGTAAAAAATAAAAGATGAAAGAGCAACAATAAAATAACAATAACGAGGCTATATACAGGGGGTACCGGTACCGAGTCAATGTGCGGGGGTACAGGTTAGTCAATGTAATTTTTACGTGGGTAGAGTTAAAGTGACTATGCATAAATAATAAACAGAGTAGCAGCTGCGTAAAAGAGGGGGTTGAGGTGGGGGGGGGAATGCAAATAGTCTGGGTAGCCATGATTAGCTGTTCAGGTGTCTTATTGCTTGGGGGTAGAAGCTGTTAAGAAGACTTTTGGACCTAGAGACTTGGCACTCCGGTACCGCTTGCCGTGCGGTAGCAGAGAGAACAGTCTATGACTAGGGTGGCTGGAGTCTTTGACAATTTTTATGGCCTTCCTCTGACACCGGCTGGTATAGAGGTCCTAAATGGCAGGAAGCTTGGCCCCAGTGATGTACTGGGCCGTACGCACTACCCTCTGTAGTGCCTTGCGGTCAGAGGCCGAGCAGTTGCCATACCAGTCGGTGATGCAACTAGTCAGGATGCTCTCGATGGTGCAGCTGTATAACATTTTGAGGATCTTAGGACCCATGCCAAATCTTTCCAGTCTCCTGAAGGGGAATAGGCGTTGTTGTGCTGTCTTGGTGTGTTTGGACCATGATAGTTTGTTGGTGATGTGGACACCAAGGAACTTGAAACTCTCAACCTGCTCCACTACAGCCCCGTCGATGAGAATGCGGGCATGCTCGGCCCTCCTTTTCCTGTAGTCCACGATCATCTCCTTTGTCTTGATCACGTTGAGGGAGAGGTTGTTGTCCTGGCACCACACCGCCAGGTCTCTGACCTCCTTCCTATAGGCTGTCTCATCATTGTCGGTGATCAGGCGTACCACCGTTGTGTCGTCGGCAAACTTAATGTTGGTGTTGGAGTCGTGCTTGGCCACGCAGTCATGGGTGAACAGGGAGTACAGGAGGGGACTAAGCATACACCCCTGAGGGGCCCCGTGTTGAGGATCAGCATGACAGATGTGTTGTTGCCTACCCTTAACACCTGGGGGCAGCCCATCAGGAAGTCCAGGATCCAGTTGCAGAGGGAGGTGTTTAGTCCCAGGGTCCTTAGCTTAGTGATGAGCTTTGAGGGCACTATGGTGTTGAACGCTGAGCTGTAGTCAATTAATAGCATTCTCACGTAGGTGTTCCTTTTGTCCAGGTGGGAAAGGGCAGTGTTGAGTGCAATAGAGATTGCGTCATTTGTGGATCTGTTTGGGTGGTATGCAAATTGGAGTGGGTCTAGGGTTTCTGGGATGATGCCGTTTATGTGAGCCATGACCAGCCTTTCACAGCACTTCATCGCTACAGACGTGCTACGGGTCAGTAGTCATTTAGGCAGGTTACTACTGACCAGGTAGCATCTTATGACCACTGTTTGTTCTCACAACATTAGATCACAGAGCAGCCGTGTGCCAGGGAGTCACGATCGGAAACTGCCTTCCGCAACCGCTCCACCACTCGTGTTGAGGAAATCATTAGACTGTTGCACAACCCCTTGATTATATCACTGGATGAAAACAAATAGAGTCAGGACAGTAATACTCAGAATGGGACAGTAGGGATCAGTGTTCTTATGATGTAACACTTCCATTACAGTGACCATAAACCAGCCTCTAGGCTCAGTCAACAAAGGCCAGGCTATCAGCTGAGCTCCGTGAGGGGGGATTCATTTCAAGCCTCTCAAATACAGCCGTGCCACCACCCATCCCATCCACTCTAATCAGAATCTAAATTCCATTTCCCTTAACAGCTCCATCACGTGAGCAAGGGAGAGAGGGAGACGTAAAAGTGGGTCACTCACAATTGCTGTATTGTGCAGCTGCAGCAACAACAACAAAAAGAGATCCAGAAATGTCAGTAGTGAGACATACTGGGGCTTGTCTTGATAACACAGAGCACACTGCCAACATCCATCTATCCGTGTCGGTCTGTGGTCAGATACAGTTTATCAGTCACAGCCCTCCCGCTACACTAGGCACGGTCTACATACGACCCAAGCTACCAGGGGTGGGGGGGTGGGGGGGGGGGGGGGTCTGCGGGAGTTAGAAACATAAACTATGATAGAGTTAACTAACATTTTCAACACAACATTTGGTTCTCCTTTTGGATTTCTGCATACCCAGTGCTAAAGTCCCACGCAACCAAATGAGATCTGGAGAAAGAAGTGGCCTAAACCTTATGTTAGGGAACACCCAAAGGAACACACATCACAAAGACACACACACCCGGACAGACCCCTCTAATTGAGATCAAGAGGGAAGATTAGAGAGCAGAGGCATGATTTGAATAGGAGTCTGGCAGTGGCAGAGATCCTCATTATCTGCCAGAGTGTGCATAGCCCCACTCATTCAGTCAGTCAGCCTTCTCACTATGTTCACATGGTGTGTGTGTCTTCTTGGGTGAGTGAGTGAAAACAGAGTGAGAAACACATTCTTACTGAGCGAGAGAACGCATCGGGGGATACAAACGGATATCCATAATAGTTGCCCTCTCAATGGACATCTCACATCTCTGCTTTCAAATAGAACTCTCAGTGCTGGCTCAAGGACGATAGGTATGTTGAACTCATTCACTGACAACAGTGGTAGGCTACTGAGGGCCACAAAAGGGAGAATTTCAAAACAAGGTTCCCTTTCTTGCCTGCCAGAATGAACAGCCATTTCATCTTTGTGTGTACAGCTGTGAGCGGAAGGTCAGCCAATTGCAACAACTTCCTCCTCACTTCACCCACTAAACCAAGCTAAATACAGGCCCTGATACCAGGGTGATAACAGAGTGGCAGAGGGAAAAGGGAGGTGAAGGTGCTAGGGGTTTTACACACTTAGATTTGTGTGTATATGTTGTGAAATTGTTAGATATTACTGCACTGTCGGAGCTAGAAGCACAAGCATTTCGCTACACCAGCAATAACAGCTAAACACATGTATGTGACTAATAACATTTTATTTTATTTGTATTAAGACTAAAACAGGATGTGCTCTTAGGCCTACAGCTCGATGGTGGTTATACAAAGCTGCTATACTAAGCCTACTAAAGATAACAACAATACTTATTATAATAATCATAATAAAAACAAGGAGATCAAGAAAAAGGAGGGTTATTATTGTTAATATAATTTCTGACTATTTGAAACAATGTAAACAACACTAAATAAATAAGTAATACCAGGGGCTGTTCTGATGAAAAAAAAAGTGTAAAGCTTTTATTACAGCATAGCAAAGATTAAAAACAGCCGAAATTGTGAAATTGTTTTCAGGTAGTTTCCGTGGTGATCCTAAAGGACCGAAGACAGCGGTCCTGTTCTGTGAGCTTGTGTGGCCTACCACTTTGCGGCTGAGCCGCTGTTACTCCTGGACGTTTCAACGTCACAATAACAGCACTTACAGTTGACCGGGGCAGCTCTAGCAGGGCAGATATTTGACGAACTGACTTGTTGGAAAGGTGGCATGCTATGACGGTGCCACACTGAAAGTCACTGAGCTCTTCAGTAAGTCTCTCTCTCACACACACACACTTCGGTTGGCGTCATTAAAACTCATTTTTCAACCACTCCACAAATTTATTCTTAACAAACTATAGTTTTGGCAAGTCGGTTAGGACATCTACTTTGTGCATGACAAGTAATTTTTCCAACAATTGTTTACAGACAGATTATTTCACTTATAATTCATTGTATCACAATTCCAGTGGTTCAGAAGTTTATATACACTAAGTTGACTGTGCCTTTAAACAACTTGGAAAATTCCAGAAAATGATGTCATCGCTTTAGAAGCTTCTGATAGGCAAATGGACATAATTTGAGTCAATTGGAGGTGTACATGTGGATGTATTTCAAGGCCTACCTTCAAAGTCAGTGCCTCTTTGCTTGACATCATGGGAAAATCAAAAGAAAAATCGACAAGTCTGGTTCATCCTTGGGAGCAATTTCCAAACGCCTGAAGGTACCACGTTCATCTGTACAAACAATAGTACGCAAGTATAAACATCATGGGACCACGCAGCCGCCATACCGCTCAGGAAGGAGACGCATTCTGTCTCCTAGAGATGAACGTACTTTGGTACGAAAAGTGCAAATCAATCCTAGAACAACAGCAAAGGACCTTGTGAAGATGCTGGAGGAAACAGGTACAAAAATCTTTATATCCACAGTAAAACGAGTCCTATATCGACATAACCTGAAAGGCAGCTCAGCAAGGAAGAAGCCACTGCTCCGAACGCCATAAAAAAGCCAGACTACAGTTTGCAACTGCACATGGGGACAAAGATCTTACCTTTTGGAGAAATGTCCTCTGGTCTGATGAAACAAAAATAGAACTGTTTGGCCATAATGACCATTGTTATGTTTGGAGGAAAAAGGGGGAACGCTTGCAAGCCGAAGAACACCATCTCAACCGTGAAGCACGGGGGTGGCAGCATCATGCTGTGGGGGTAATTTGCTGCAGGAGGGACTGGTGCACTTCACAAAATAGATGGCATCATGAGGAAGGAAAATTATGTGGATATATTGAAGCAACATCAAGACATCAGTCAGGAAGACCCCAAGCATACTTCCAAAGTTGTGGCAAAATGGCTTAAGGACAACAAAGTCAAGGTATTGGAGTGGCCATCACAAAGCCCTGACCTCAATCCTATAGACAATTTGTGGGCAGAACTGAAAAAGCGTGTGTGAGCAAGGAGGCCTACAAACCTGACTCGGTTACACCAGCTCTGTCAGGAGGAATGGGCCAAAATTCACCCAACTTATTATGGGAAGCTTGTGGAAAAAATAAAGTGGTGATCATAACGGACCTAAGACAGGGAATTTTTACTAGGAATAAAATGTCAGGAATTGTGAAAAACTGAGTTTAAATGTATTTGGCTAAGGTGTATGTTAACTTCCGACTTCAACTGTGTGTGTGTGTGTGTGTGTGTGTGTGTGTGTGTGTGTGTGTGTGTGTGTGTGTGTGTGTGTGTGTGTGTGTGTGTGTGTGTGTGTGTGTGTATATATATATATATATATATATATATATATATATATATATATACACACACACATACATACATACATACATACATACATACATACATACACAAAAGTATGTGGACACCCCTTCAAATTAGTGGAGTTATATATATAAGGAAAAAAGTATTTGATCCCCTGCTGATTTTGTACGTTTGCTCACTGACAAAGACATGATCAGTCTATAATTTTAATGGTAGGTTTATTTGAACAGTGAGAGACATAATAACAAAAAACAAAAAAATCAAGAAACGCATAAATTTTAAATGAGGGAAATAAGTATTTGACCCCTCTGCAAAACATGACTTAGTACTTGGTGGCAAAACCCTTGTTGGCAATCACAGAGGTCAGACGTTTCTTGTAGTTGGCCACCAGGTTTGCACACATCTCAGGAGGGATTTTGTTCCACTCCTCTTTGCAGATCTTCTCCAAGTCATTAAAGTTTCGAGGCTGACGTTTAGCAACTCGAACCTTCAGCTCCCTCCACAGATTTTCTATGGGATTAAGGTCTGGAGACTGGCTAGGCCACTCCAGGACCTTAATGTGCTTCTTCTTGAGCCACTCCTTTGTTGCCTTGGCCATGTGTTTTGGGTCATTGTCATGCTGGAATACCCATCCACGACCCATTTTCAATGCCCTGGCTGAGGGAAGGAGGTTCTCACCCAAGATTTGACGGTACATGGCCCCGTCCATCGTCCCTTTGATGCGGTGAAGTTGTCCTGTCCACTTAGCAGAAAAACACCCCCAAAGCATAATGTTTCCACCGCCATGTTTGACGGTGGGGATGGTGTTCTTGGGGTCATAGGCAGCATTCCTCCTCCTCCAAACACAGCGAGTTGAGTTGATTCTCGATTTTGGTCTCATCTGACCACAACACTTTCACCCAGTTCTCCTCTGAATCATTCAGCTGTTCATTGGCAAACTACAGACGGGCCTGTATATGTGCTTTCTTGAGCAGGGGGACCTTGCGGGCGCTGCAGGATTTCAGTCCTTTACGGCGTAGTGTGTTACCAATTGTTTTCTTGGTGACTATGGTCCCAGCTGCCTTGAGATCATTGACAAGATCCTCCCGTGTAGTTCTGGGCTGATTCCTCACCGTTCTCATGATCATTGCAACTCCACGAGGTGAGATCTTGCATGGAGCCCCAGGCCGAGGGAGATTGACAGTTATTTTGTGTTTCTTCCATTTGTGAATAATCGCACCAACTGTTGTCACCTTTTCACCAAGCTGCTTGGCGATGGTCTTGTAGCCCATTCCAGCCTTGTGTAGGTCTACAATCTTGTCCCTAACATCCTTGGAGAGCTCTTTGGTCTTGGCCATGATGGAGAGTTTGGAATCTGATTGATTGATTGCTTCTGTGGACAGGTGTCTTTTATACAGGTAACAAACTGAGATTAGGAGCACTCCCTTTAAGAGTGTGCTCCTAATCTCAGCTCGTTACCTGTATAAAAGACACCTGGGAACCAGAAATCTTTGTGATTGAGAGGGGGTAAAATACTTATTTCCCTCATTAAAATGTAAATCAATTTATAACATTTTTGACATGCGTTTTTCTGTATTTTTTTGTTGTTATTCTGTCTCTCACTGTTCAAATAAACCTACCATTAAAATTATAGACTGATCATTTCTTTGTCAGTGGGCAAACATACAAAATCAGCAGGGGATCAAATACTTTTCCCCCTCACTGTGTGTGTGTGTGTGTGTGTGTGTGTGTGTGTGTGTGTGTGTGTGTGTGTGTGTGTGTGTGTGTGTGTGTGTGTGTGTGTGTGTGTGTGTGTGTGTGTGTGTGTGTGTGTGTGTGTGTGTGTGTGTGTGTATGTATGTATGTATGTATGTATGTATGTATGTATGTATGTATGTATGTATGTATGTATGTATATATATATATACACACACACACACACACAGTGGGGAGAACAAGTATTTGATACACTGCCGATTTTGCAGGTTTTCCTACTTACAAAGCATGTAGGAGGTCTGTAATTTTTATCATAGGTACACTTCAACTGTGAGAGACGCAATCGAAAAAAATAATCCAGAAAATCACATTGTATGATTTTAAGTAATTAATTAGCATTTTATTGCATGACATAAGTATTTGATCACCTACCAAGCAGTAAGAATTCCGGCTCTCACAGACCTGTTCGTTTTTCTTTAAGAATCACTCCTGTTCTCCACTCATTTCCTGTATTAACTGCACCTGTTTGAACTCGTTACCTGTATAAAATACATCTGTCCACACACTCAATCAAACAGACTCCAACCTCTCCACAATGGCCAAGACCAGAGAGCTGTGTAAGAACATCAGGGATACAATTGTAGACCTGCACAAGGCTGGGATGGGCTACAGGACAATGGGCAAGCAGCCTGGTGAGAAGGCAACAACTGTTGGCGCAATTATTAGAAAATGGAAGAAGTTCAATATGACGGTCAATCACCCTCGGTCTGCGGCTCCATGCAAGATCTCACCTCGTGGGGCATCAATGATCATGAGAAAGGTGAAGGATCAGCCCAGAACTACACGGCAGGACCTGGTCAATGACCTGAAGAGAGCTGGGACCACAGTCTCAAAGAAAACCATTAGTAACACACTACGCCGTCATGGATTAAAATCCTGCAGCGCACGCAAGGTCCCCCTGCTCAAGCCAGCGCATGTCCAGGCCCGTATGAAGTTTGCCAATGACCATCTGGATGATCCAGAGGAGGAATGGGAGAAGGTCATGTTGTCTGATGAGACAAAAATAGAGCTTTTTGGTCTAAACTCCACTCACCGTGTTTGGAGGAAGAAGAAGGATGAGTACAACCCCAAGAACACCATCCCAACCGTGAAGCATGGAGGTGGAAACATCATTCTTTGGGGATGCTTTTCTGCAAAGGGGACAGGGCGACTGCACCGTATTGAGGGGAGGATGGATGGGGCCATGTATCGCGAGATCTTGGCCAACAACCTCCTTCCCTCAGTAAGAGTATTGAAGATGGGTCATGGCTGGGTCTTCCAGCATGACAACGACCCGAAACACACAGCCAGGGCAACTAAGGAGTGGCTCCGTAAGAAGCATCTCAAGGTCCTGGAGTGGCCTAGCCAGTTTCCAGACCTGAACCCAATAGAAAATCTTTGGAGGGAGCTGAAAGTCCATATTGCCCAGCGACAGCCCCGAAACCTGAAGGATCTGGAGAAGGTCTGTATGGAGGAGTGGGACTAAAATCCCTGCTGCAGTGTGTGCAAACCTGGTCAAGACCTACAGGAAACATATGATCTCTGTAATTGCAAACAAAGGTTTCTGTAACACATATTAAGTTCTGCTTTTCCGATGTATCAAATACTTATGTCATGCAATAAAATGCAAATCAATTACTTAAATTATACAATGTGATTTTCTGGATTTTTGTTTTAGATTCTGTCTCTCACAGTTGAAGTGTACCTATGATAAAAATTACAGACCTCTACATGCTTTGTAAGTAGGAAAACCTGCAAAATCGGCAGTGTATCAAATACTTGTTCTCCCCACTGTGTGTGTGTGTGTGTGTATATATATATATATATATATATATATATATATATATATATATACACACACACACATATACACACACATACACACACACACAGTGGGGGAAAAAAGTATTTAGTCAGCCACCAATTGTGCAAGTTCTCCCACTTAAAAAGATGAGAGAGGCCTGTAATTTTCATCATAGGTACATGTCAACTATGACAGACAAAATGAGGGAAAAAAATCCAGAAAATCACATTGTAGGATTTTTAATGATTTTTTTTGCAAATTATGGTGGAAAATAAGTATTTGGTCAATAAAAGTTTCTCAATACTTTGTTATATACCATTTGTTGGCAATGACACAGGTCAAACGTTTTCTGTAAGTCTTCACAAGGTTTTCACACACTGTTGCTGGTATTTTGGCCCATTCCTCCATGCAGATCTCCTCTAGAGCAGTGATGTTTTGGGGCTGTCGCTGGGCAACACGGACTTTCAACTCCCTCCAAAGATTTTCTATGGGGTTGAGATCTGGAGACTGGCTAGGCCACTCCAGGACCTTGAAATGCTTCTTACGAAGCCACTCCTTCGTTGCCCGGGCAGTGTGTTTGGGATCATTGTCATGCTGAAAGACCCAGCCACGTTTCATCTTCAATGCCCTTGCTGATGGAAGGAGGTTTTCACTCAAAATCTCACGATACATAGCCCCATTCATTCTTTCCTTTACACGGATCAGTCGTCCTGGTCCCTTTGCAGAAAAACAGCCCCAAATCATGAGGTTTCCACCCCCATGCTTCACAGTAGGTATGGTGTTATTTGGATGCAACTCAGCATTCTTTGTCCTCCAAACACGACGAGTTGAGGTTTTACCAAAAAGTTCTATTTTGGTTTCATCTGACATTCTCCCAATCCTCTTCTGGATCATCCAAATGCACTCTAGCAAACTTCAGACGGGCCTGGACATGTACTGGCTTAAGCAGGGGGACACGTCTGGCACTGCAGGATTTGAGTCCCTGGCGGCGTAGTGTGTTACTGATAGTAGGCTTTGTTACTTTGGTCCCAGCTCTCTGCAGGTCATTCACTAGGTCCCCCCGTGTGGTTCTGGGAATTTTGCTCACCGTTCTTGTGATCATTTTGACCCCACGGGGTGAGATCTTGCGTGGAGCCCCAGATCGAGGGAGATTATCAGTGGTCTTGTATGTCTTCCATTTCCTAATAATTGCTCCCACAGTTGATTTCTTCAAACCAAGCTGCTTACCTATTGCAGATTCAGTCTTCCCAGCCTGGTGCAGGTCTACAATTTTGTTTCTGGTGTCCTTTGACAGCTCTTTGGTCTTGGCCATAGTGGAGTTTGGAGTGTGACTGTTTGAGGTTGTGGACAGGTGTCTTTTATACTGATAACAAGTTCAAACAGGTGCCATTAATACAGGTAACGAGTGGAGGACAGAGGAGCCTCTTAAATAAGAAGTTACAGGTCTGTGAGAGCCAGAAATTTGCTTGTTTGTAGGTGACCAAATACTTATTTTCCACCATAATTTGCAAATAAATTCATAAAAGATCATACAATGTGATTTTCTGGATTTTTTTTTCTCAATTTGTCTGTCATAGTTGACGTGTACCTATGATGAAAATTACAGGCCTCTCTCATCTTTTTAAGTGGGAGAACTTGCACAATTGGTGGCTGACTAAATACTTTTTCCCCCACTGTATATATGGATGATTTATAAAGCCAGGCACATTTAACAGTTATGCTATTGATTATATACCTAATTAAGTTGGGGTTTCCGCTCTCCTCACTTTTCCTAGACAATTAAGGCAAGGGCTGTTTTCTCGTCTCCTAACTCCGCTGCTGCCTCCGCCCTATTGTTCTCAACACCAATATGCAGGTTAACTTTGCTATTATGCGCATAGCAACATGGTCTAGGAAAAGGCACTAATTCAACAGCGCACTGATGTTTCAGAACCGCGGACAGCGACCGCTATCAAAACGCGGTAGAAAGCGCATTTGTTATAAAATAATATAATTTGTTGTGTTGCACCATTGTCCTTAACCATTTCAGTAGCACATGCCTTAGAGCAGGGGTGTCAAACTCATTTTAGCTCAGGGGCCACATGGAGGAAAATCTATTCCCAAGTGGGCCGGACCGGAAAAATCATGGTGTATATATAACTTAAAAACAACAACTTCAGATTGTTTTCTTTGTTTTAATACGATCAACATACAACAGAAGGCTGTCAAACTGACGGTGATTCAGGCTTCTGGATCGGATGAAATTAACAGTTTGGATGACCACCTTCATGACGTTATCCATCTTTAATGACTTGCAACACAAAGCCTCCTGGTGCAAAATACAGTGAAAAGTCAAAAAATCACGTCCTCCATTTGCAGATTGCACTTTCTCTCTGAACTTTGTCACAACGCCTGCTTTTTTCCCGTTCATTGAGGGCGCACCATCTGTTGACAGCGCGGGACCAGTCCACTCCGACACTGTCCAGCGCGCCGACGAGTGCGGTAAAAATATCAGCTGCTGTCGTTGTATCTGTCATCGGCACCAACTCCACGAACTCCTCGGTGACGGTCAATGTGTCATCAACTCCGCGGATGAAAATGGCCAGTTGTGCAACATCTGTAATGTCCGTGCTTTCATCAATTGCAACCGAAAACGCAATAAATGACTTTGCTTTTTGCTTCAACTGGCTATCCAAATCCACTGAAAGATCGGAAATCCTGTCTGCAACTGTGTTTCTTGTCAGGCTGATATTTGCAAAAGCCTGCCGCTTTTCAGGGCACACAATCTCCGCTGCCTTCATCATGCATGTTTTTACAAATTCACCCTCACTAAATGGTTTTGAAGCCACTGCGATTTCATTAGCAATGAGGTAGCTAGCTTTCACTGCAGCGTCACTGATGTCTCGGCTGTGAGTAAACACAGACTGCTGTTTCTTCAGACCCGCCAACAGTTCATTCACCTTCTCTCATCTCCGCTGTCCTTGAAAGTTGTCATACTTGTCGGCATGAAGACTCACATAGTGGCGACGAAGGTTATATTCTTTCAGCACTGCAACATGCTCTGAACACACCAAACATACAGCTTTCCCATTCAATTCCGTGAATAAATAGGATGACCCCTTTTCTTGGAACACTCTGCGTCCACTTTTCTCTTTTTTGACAGAGACATATTGGGGCAATGAGGGTGCCAAAGCACATAATGTTAAAAGTAGAAGCCGTAATAAATATCGCGGGCAAAACAAAGTAGCTCATTGGCTGCACGTGCTTGACCTACTTGCTCTGCCCCGGTATAAACAGTTTGCTTGCTATTGCGCCATCCAGTGGACGCAATTGGAACAGCAGTTAATTTTATTGAAAAATTGCAGCGCATTTTTATACTTTACCAAAAAAATAATAATAATGATCCTGATCCGGCCCGCGGGCCGTACGTTTGACACCCCTGCCTTAGAGTGTAGGACTGTGCCATCCCCACGGCCTCCACAATGGATTAGTTCACCCAGACAGGCGCAAATCAGACAGGTGTCTTGCACACCATGAATTATTGTTTTTTTTCTACTGCTCGACTAAAGAAATATTGGTCGACCAACAGCCTATCGACCAAACAATCGACTAAATGGGGTCAGCCCTAGTGTCATGAAACAGAGCAGAGCACAGTACAGTTCAGTAAACAGGCCATCTGAGATATTACACTGCCTTTATCAGCTAGCGCCTAACCTTCTCCCAGTGAGAGCAGCCAGCCAGCAGACTTCACAGTCAGGCTACAGGGGTGGGAGACCAACCCAGACTCAAGGGCCTAAAGCCAAAAGACGCAAACTTCAAAAAGGAGAAGTGCTGTGAAATGTGTGCTTGATTTTGCTAGGAGACCAAATGTTGGAATGCAAGAGCACAGACATGAACTAGGCAGATTTCTAGCAGTCCTCCTTTTCTGGAGGACTGGCTGCAGTCTGCAGCTTTTGTGTAGTAAATGTCACAGATCTCTCAATAGAGCAGCAATATTTTCTTGACTGAGGTTCCAATGTAGATACATGAAAAACATTTTTTGTGTGTAGAAATTAATGTAAAAAATGACAATCATTTTCATGAGAACTCATCAAGTATTAATCCAACCAATTACTTAGTTCATTCATGAATAGCCTACATGAGCAGACTAGGTTCCTGGTTTACCTTGCTGGCCTGTGGGGTGTTGAGGATATGGACGGTGCTGGGTTTAACACCGTTGGCTTTGGTTCTCTTGTACAGGGCGAAGCGGCTTTTCCTTCTGCCCCGGTCTCCGTTCGGGAGGGAGCCATTGTACCTGTCATAAAAGAAGAGGAGAAAGATGTGAGTTTAACATTTGAGACCAGGGGAATTAATTCTCCACAAAGGGTGGGTAAATATGTTACAGAATACGCATGTCTGGAAGTGAATGTGCGATGAATAATAAAATGTGTTCCTGGGGTTTTAGAGAAGGGCCATTTCCATTAATCCACCACCAGAAATCACATTCATTTTACTTGTGATATAAGCATCACCTTGGATTATTACATAATGCACTTTAAATGCTTTCCCTGTCTAAGCTAGCCACGATGTAGCTCCAGCTGTTGATCTACACTATTCTGTAGCAGAGCAGAGTTAGGATATGTGTCAGGTCTCCTGCTGCCCTTTACAGGACTGTCCAGACCGGCGAGGCTTTCTGACTCACATGATGGTTCAACAGCGTAATAGCGCTACCGTATTAGTCACAAGAACTTGGAACCTGAATTGGCTGACTCCATTAAAAAAAAACACACAGGACAAAATGGCCTCATCATAACAATTGTGTGGTTCACAATTCTATCTTGGTGCACCCTTGTGATGCCCAGTCACTCTCAGTCTGATATTACTACAAGGTTGGTCTGCCTGGTGAATGGAGATGCCCCTTCCAGAACAGACCAATATTCTACATCCACCAGCTGGACCCTACAGCTGGGAAACCCCATGCTCTCCTCCCATCCAACAAAGGCCTTCTGTCACCACCCACCCACAATGATCGTGTAAATAAGAGAGTTCAGATTGACACGTAAAACTGCGATCACAGTATTTCAGAATCAACTATGTTCATTAAGTAAAAAACTCCTTTAATTGAATTAGTGAATGTGCTAAACAACAAACCAGTACACTGTAATCCCCAAAGCCCCCCCACCCCACCCCGGCAAACACATGGCCTAAGTCAGAACAGGGTAGAGAGCTGGTCTGCTAAACGTAACTCTCTCACAGGGGAATATGTTAGCTCTGCCATCGTTGACTGACTGCACACGAGTACGATCAATATGAAACAAGTCACTAACGCAGTGATCAGTCCACAATGAGGCAGGATCAATTCCACTCTGTTGTTAGCCTTCGCCAGCCACCTGTCTCTAAAGTGATTATTGTCCTTGGTACCAGTCAATGCCATTGCCTCTATACCAGGCGATGTCAGAGAAAGGCCCTAGAAATTTCAACGATTCCAGCCACCCAAGTCATAGACTGTTCTCTTTGCTACCACACGGCAAGCGGTACCGATGCACCGTCTGGAACCAACAGGACACTGAACAGCTTCTACCCACTAAAAAAAGTTGACCAAATAGCTGCCCGGACTACAGTGACACATTTTTTGTTGTTTTGGCTCTGTACTCCAGCACTTTGGATTTGAAATTAAACAATGGACTATGAGGTTAAAGTGCAGACTGTCAGCTTTAATTTGAGGGTATTTTCATCCATACTTGATGGATGCATTTATAGGGTGAATGCACCAACTTGTAAGTCGCTCTGGATAAGAGCGTCTGCTAAATGACGTAAATGTAAATGTAATGCATTTGTTGTGTTTCAGATTATTTTGTGCCCAATATAAATAAATGGTAAATAATGTAGTGTGTCATTTTGGAGTCACTTTTATTGTAAATAAGAATATGTTTCTAAACACTTCTACATGAATGTGGACGCTACTAGGGTTGGGCGGTATCCAGATTTACTATGTACAACAAGTGCTGTAATTTCCAAATGGTTCACCCGATATGGATGAAAATACCCTCAAATGAAAGCTGACAGTCTGCACTTTAACCTCATAGTCATTGTATAATTTATGTACTTTAACCTCAGTCATTGTATAGTTTTGCCTCTGTACTCTGGAGTACAGAGCCAAAACTAAAACAAAATTGTCACTGTCCCAATACTTTTGGAGCTCACTGTATGTGCATTGACCCCCCTTCGCACTAATTATTTTGACTCATTACATACGCTGCTGCTTATTATCTATCCTGTTGCCTAGTTACTTTACCCCTACCCATATGTACACATCTACCTCAATTACCTCATACTCCTGCACATCGACTCTGTACTTGTACCCTGTGTATATAGCCAAGTTATCATTACTCACTGTGTATTTATTCCTTGTGTTATCTTTATTACTTTTCTATTTCTCACGCTCAACATTGTTGGGATGGGCATTTCACTGTTCGTAAACAACAGGTGTAGACTAAGCATGTGACAAAAGTAGATCTCTCTAGCTTGATGATACTGTGCCAAAACATCTCTCCCCCCCACTCCAGTTAAGCCATTTGGGGTCAGATGGGAAGACTGGACATAAATACCAGTCCATTATCCATCTTTACGGACAGGACGTGAAGTGTGTAATGTCACCTGGAGCCACCTTCGTCATTGCATTAGCTGGGACAGCATCTGTACTGTAGCTATTGTAATCCATTTCCTTTTACCTGGGCCAGACAGATAGCGGATTTAGCCTTTTGGTAGTAGCAGGGATTAGACTAGAGGCTCTGAGCATCCCTGTCCTCCAGCCATGCCATTCACAGGAAAGAGTCACCAGCACTCCCCTAGTCACCCTGACAGAGTCTGAGGGGCTTTAAGTCACAACCAGTCCAAACTGTGACAATGTACAGCAACATTTATGGTTCATCCTCAACAGTAGATGTCATCTACAGTTAGTCACCCCCCTCCCATCTTGGTGGTTTGGAGGTCTGTGCTCCACCTAACCGGAGATGTCCCAGTCGAATATAAGATTCCCTCACAGAGCCGTTCTTAGGAGACTAACACAATGCAATCAATAGGTTCAGTCCCACAGGCACAATGAATGGACAGCGGGGACTGGGGAGAGGCAGAGGCTGTATCCTGATCAATCCCTCTTTTCATTCCCTAAGACCTACTCACCCAGCCGGCCCATTGCCAGTGCTGCCAGGCAAAGCCAGGAAAGTGGCCATGCAAGCATCTATGCCACCACTGGGATAAGACAAACTCGGGTGAGAATGGCTATTCAAAACAGGTCTTGTACGCTCTGCATTCAAATGATATGTCACGAAGATGTCACTTTTGATCTAAATCTAGAAAATAGCAAAAATGATAAGCCATTGAACAACTTTAAGATGGCAGGCGTCTGGTCCATAAGTATAGCCAACAACGGCACACACTGACTCAGAACAGTCACCAGTGAGAATATGTATGTGGTGTGTGTGTGTGTGGGGGGTGAGTTGGGGGGGGGGGTTAAGGGAAAGACCCCCATTCTTCCACACCCTACATAAATCTTTTAAAAGCACCTAATCCAAAATGCTTTTAAGAGACACTCTATACATGAAATTCACAAAGCACCAAACAAATGACTGATGCATTATTTCATACTCTCTCCATTCATTTTTAATAACACCTTACAATGAAAAAGCAAGCAATAAAACGACACACTTTTCTTTAAAAAAAGAAGAAAAAAATGGTCTAGGTGCTTGTGCCTGAAGCACAATGAAATGTTACCCAAGAAGGATAGTCATAGCACTGCTGAATGAGAGTAACAGCCACACCGGTAAAGATAGACCATAAATATTAACAAATGGAGGACTTAAATATTGGTATTTTCCCCTTCACTACAGGATCAAATAGTCCCAAACAAACAGGTTCGGAAACACATCACTAAGCAAAATTAAAATGATAGTGCTTTCTTAGCGCCAGGGGGGATATTACTAGACTACCAATGTTTCAGGAGCTAATACATTGATATACACACACATCATTACATCGATGGCACCTAATTATACATGACCAAATAAGTGAGAATTTCAACATTAACTGTATAGTGTAGGCTAGCCCAACAATGGACTAAAGGAGCCTAAGGTTACTCCTTTTATTCCAAGAACATTCAATGTTCTGTTCACAGGCGAATTGGCTCTGGCAGCCAAAACAGCCAAATACTCCATCTAAACGTGAATCGATTCTCAATTGCACTACAGTTCTAGAAACATAAAGCCCTCTACTTTTACAAATGCAAAATATACACTTACTGTCCACTGTTTTAACCAGTTTTAACACAGTTGCAGCCGACAGTATTTTCAGTGACACACATTTGTGGTGTCAGTCTTCTGTTACACAGTGGTGTAAAGTACTTAAGTAAAATACCTTAAAGTACTACTTAAGTAGTTTTTGGGGGTATTTGACTACTTTTACTTCTCTACATTCCTAAAGAAAATTATGTACTTTTTACTTCATACATTTTCCCTGACACCCAAAAGTACTTGTTACATTTTGAAGGCTTAGCAGGACAGGAAAATTGTCAAATTCACACACTTATCAAGAGAACATCCCTGGTCATCTCTACTGCCTCTGCTCTGGCGGACTCACTAAACACAAATGCATTGTTTGCAAATTATGTCTGAGTGTTGGAGAAAATAATAAATAAAAATTGCGGCACGTACATTTTAGCAATTACATTTACTTTTGATGCTTAAGTATATTTAAAACCAAATACTTTTAGATTTTTACTCAAGTAGTACTTTATTGGGCGTCTTTCACTAGAGTCATTTTCTATTAAGGTATCTTTACTTTTACTCAAGTATGACAATTGGGTACTTTTCCACGACTGTGTTTACACACAGCTGTTCAGAGAAGCAGATAGCTATTTTGCACAGATAGTAGACTGTCTTCTGTATGTTTTCCGTGAAGAAGTACTGTAACATGGATATATGGCCTTGCGGGAACCTTAACCCTCTAAAAGGTGACGTAATATAACCATTTTGTAAAATCCATTTTAGAATAAGGCTGTACTGTAACAAAATGTGGAAAGGGTCTGAATAGTTTTTGAATGCAGTATGTGTATGTACACACACACTCTACCAGTCAAAAGTTTGGACACACCTACCCATTCAAGGGTCTTTCTTTATTTTTACTATTTTCTACATTCTAGAATAATAGTGAAGACATCCAAACTATGAAATAACACATATGGAATCATGTAGTAAACAAAAGTGTTAAACAAAACAAAATATATTTTAGATTTTAGATTCTTCAAAGCAGCCACCCTT